ATACGTGTACCAATGATTCCAAAAGTCTTTATAAGAATTGAGGGAAAATCAAATCTATGCTTGTGGACAGTATTTCCTATCACTTTGGTCTGTAATAACATGAACTACGCTTCTTATACTGTACTGTATATTTTTTTCTGCAGACATCTGGTTGTGTATGGGCATTGGGAAATATTATATGATTATGATAGTTGCTGAAATTCTTTCGGTAAAGTTGATGAACACATTCAAGTTCACATTTGCAATGCATAAACCTCGATTTTTTATAAAAATTTCGAGTGCTGAGAATAGGTGTACACGTGCACGAGTGATTCCAAAAGCCCTATAGGATTGTTAACCAGCAAAAGCCTATTCAGAATGAGGCAAAAATCAAATATGTGTTCTTTTGGACTTTATTTGCCGTTATACTTCATGCAGTCTCAAATAATATGGATTACGGTTTTATTTATTTTTGTTTTCTCCCTGCAAACGTCTCGTTGTATGGACATTGAGAAATATTCCATGACTTGATTCTCCTATTTATATTATATATATATATATAAATATATTGTAACGATCCTCCTATTTATATTATTTATATAATCATTTATTCATTCAATTGCTCATCCCGCAGTAGCTTTTGAAATTCGTTCAGCAAAGTTTATGAACACATTCAAGTACACATTTACAATGCATAAACCTCGATTTTTTAAATTTCACACGTGTACGAGTCATTCCAAAAGTCCAATATGATTGTTAACCAGCCTGAATTTAGCCTATTCAGAATGATGAAGCAAAAATCAAATGTGTGTTCGTGTGGACTGTACTTGTCGCTATACTTCAGGCAGTCTCAAATAATATGGATTACGGTTTTATTTCTTTTTGTGTTCTCCCTGCAGACCTCTCGTTGTGTGGACATTGGGAAATATTCCATGACCGGCTCATCGCGTCGCAAGTGCGTCAAGGGGGAATGGGTCGGGAAACCGCCGACGTGTCTCGGCCTGTCCCAAGAGTATGACTACGCCCGTGAGTACTTTTTCTCCCTCTTCTTCCTCTTCCTTTTTTTCACTTCCACTTCCCTTACTTCCGATTATTGCGTGATTTATGAGGCAGTGCTGCCCAGTTCCCACGAGGAAGGCCAACACTGAAAAAAAAAATGCTTTCAACGCCAGAGGAAGCGTCTGATAATATACCTGATGCACCCGAGCGTCGGTTGTTGCTGGTCCTGTCAAAGATAAATGACGAGGAGAGTCTCCGCTTTTACTTTATTTATTTATTTTCCTGCCTATCTGTCCTTTGCTTATCTTACCTTTCGAGAGGAAAAAGGAAAGAAATGTTTGTTTTTGTTGCCATACGCTTCAATAATAAGGGATTGATGAATGAGACGGGCGTGGAAACGATTCGAATTTTTCAAGAACCGCGTCCGTCCATCGCCCTGGGATAGATTTTCGTCCAATAATATCATGATGGCTTGATTTTTCTCAAATATTTATAGTCGAACCCATTTTTTTTATTTATCTGCGCATCCTTCGAGTGGGGCCTTAATATAAGCAACAAAAACCTCACGGAACAGATGTGGGCTTACATAAGTTGCCATTTTGCCTCAAGCAAAAAAATTGACAATAGGAAAAAATCTTGGGAAAACAGGGGAAACTTGGAAATCTTAATTTGTTGAACAAAGGATAAAATTTTCGAAATTTAAATTTGCATGCGAGTGTCTTTACAAATGAGAATATATCTAACAGAGGGATTTTTAAAAATGAATTCGAAATTTGAGAAACTTCGCATTCCCCTTTTAGAAGGATTCCAACATATATACCTATTGCCATTCGTTCTAAAATTTAAAATGTACTAGGATACTGTATATTTTTTATTTGCGTCCTCATTTTTTTATTTTTGTTTTATTTAGTTTCTCACCCTTACTTATCTCTTCAGTGCTGGAACCAATGAATTCATAGGTGACGTGATGAATTGATAGGTTACGAAATATGTTAATGTTAGCAATTGATAAATTGATGTTCACGCGTTTGTAAATCAAAATGTCAAAATACAAAATAGAGCTTCTCGTTTGTTAAATATAGAAAATTCGATAAAACATGATGAACTCAGTAGGGCGAGCGTTTATACGAACAGCGTTTCTGCGTTTAACAGGAAAAAAATTACTCATTTCCATTTCTGGCTGAATTTATACTGAAAGTCATTTCTTTTTTGTTTTTCAAAACATTTGTTTCTAGTGGAAAGACCGCCAACAATCCTGTTCAGACATCAGCTTGGCCCGATTGCCCAAAGCAATGACGGAAAACTCATCGTTTATCCCGGAACTATTCTGCACCTCGAATGCCTCTGGTTGCGGAAATTCGGCAATCCGAAATGGGTCATTTCGCACAAATACAGGTAATTATTACGGCACTATGAATGCATTTTTAAAAAATGAAGGAACAAATGGCGAAACTGGGCTGTTCCGCATCGTGAGTCTAAAGCCTAATTCATCTCTACTAGACCATCCGTAGGGGAATTGATTAAGGAATTAATCCAATTAATTTCTATCCGCATAGAAATTAATTTCCGAAATTTTCAAAACAATTCATGATATTTTATTTCGGTCTGCCACTTTTCGCAATTCAATTTGAATAGTCTACATTTATCTTTTTAATTTTGATATGTGAGTCGTTTATTGATAATAAGAATTATGCTTCGAATCTGCAGATCCATAAGCGCTGAATCTTCTGAAATATAATTTTCTTTAGTTGACAGATATTCTTATTACAGTGCTGTACATAATTCAATGCTGTCATGACGATTATTGTGGTAGGCTAAAAAAAAATCTTTCAATTTTTCTCGGAATGCTACTTCTGACAGTAAGTCCGAATGGTTTCGAATTATCTATATACGGAAACTGGGCTGTTATTATTTTTTTAATGTTTAAAAAAGTTGAAGACAAGACTGTTCTTTCCAAACAAAAAGTAATTTTCATGAATAAAATTAAGTTTAACAAATTGTCACGGAGAATTTCACGATAACATGCATCGAAAATAGATGATAGAAAGACCTCATACCCAATAAGAGATTCACTGTTTTATTGTGACGTGACTCTTTTCCGAACTGCACACGACTAATGAATATCAATATGCAGTTGTATATACGCATTTACCGAGAAAACCCGCAGAACTTTTATATTTGATTGTCTTTTTTATTTTTCAACTTCGGACTAAAATTTCAGGTGTAGCATATAACTGATCATAAGATGGGAGTCAATTGAACTGGGAAATTTGCACATGCCCACAAGCGCATTCGTCTTCGTTAACATTCCATATCCAAATAAATGCAAAAGCTTGAATAAATTAGTATAGGAAATGAATCCGTGCAAACAACAAAATTGATTCAACAGTACAGTTTTTTCTCGCACCTGATCATCAAAAATTGATCAAATTATTCACAGAGATTATCCTCAAAATTGGACTACCGATGAGAACAGGAACCCGAACTTGGAGTATCGTCTGACCATTTACCACGCTCAAAAGGACGATTCTGGAACATTCACTTGTGAAACTCCGAACAGACACCAGCACGGTGTTCAAGTCGTCGTATCCGGTAAAAAAATTTTAAATTTTAAATAAACTTCATGAGGAAAATAAGAAAAAAGTATAGATGATAATTTTTCCTTTTTTGTGGAATTTCCCCAGCCGTTCATTGCCCGGAGTTGCCGATCCGACCTGGACTTGTGATGACGCCGAAAAACTCACATCAAATGATGACGAAGGTCTTCTTTTCTTGTGAGAATGGCAACAGTCTAGTTGGCACGAACGAAATCAGCTGTTTGCCGTCTGGAAATTGGTCTGCACCTGTTCCGGATTGTCAAAGTAGGTTTCAATATTGGGCTAGCATATGCATATTGATAATAAGACTTGAACGTCAAACTGGAAGAATTAATATGGCGGCTTCTTCAGGAAGGTTATTTGAAATATCATGTTGAAAAAAGGCGCATGAAATGCATCTAATTACCTTTCAAATCATGTGACTTTTCCTACTCTACATCAGTTTAACCTCCCCCGGTGTTTCGAAATAATTTCAAACCGCAGAAATTGTTATATCGATGCAATTATTGCGGGTTTGAAACTAATATACTTACCATTTAAGAAATAATTTCGTTTCCATTATACAATATTTTTATACTGAAAGCTAGAAGTGTTTGCCAGACATAACATATATTGTATTTCAAAATAAATTTCGTCGAGAGACTATAAGGTAAGATAATTTTTCAACTGTGCTCAAGTGGGTTTTCCCTCTCTTCAAGCATATAATTATGCTACTGAAAACCCTGATTTGAAGTTTTAAAACAAATGTTGCCGATGCTATTAAGAGGAATTTGGATATTGCACTAGCACTCGAGAAATAATGTCTAACACGATCATAGACTTGCATTATTCGCGAGAGCAATCCATTTCAGGTCAATGTTCTCACAATAACTTATTAAGAAACCAATGTTTGAAATTTTGAATTTAAATTTTATTGAATATCGGGCTCATCATCATCAAGCAGAAGCTACGCGTCTAATCTTTTTTTCCATTATCGGTTGGTGATGTTTTCATTTTATTTTATTTTTTATATAAACTAATAATGCTGCAGCATAAAAATAATAATTTCCCATTGCGCGCTGCGAAATCTCTCAACGTCCTTCGCCGAATTGGAAATGCCCGTACATATACAAGTGGAAGAGGGTCCTCGTTGCCGAATCTCGAAAGGAATTGAATCCCTCGACGAAATCGATCGAGACTCGTCGTATGAAAGCTCCAAAAGGTTTTTATATACTGCAGCTATGTACGATCGCATACGAGCTTCTGCTGCAGCATTGAGATCAGGGCTCAAATCACAATATGCCAATGTCTCGGGAATGAATTTACATGACTCAATAATATAGCGGATTATCTTCTCGCAGCTGTGAAATGTCCGCCGATGCTCAACACGTCCACTGAGGACCTGGTTCCTGGCGCAGTCAAAGTGGACGTTCGTGTGGAAGTTCAGTCGCAATCCGTGGGTGGGAAAGCATTTTTCAGCTGTCCCGAAAGCTACGGGTTGCGGGGCCCGACGGAGTCCGTGTGTCGCCCTGACGGCTTCTGGTCAAGGCCATTTCCCATCTGCACCCGTAAGTTTCTTCTAAACTAATTGGACCTCTAAATGAAAAAAATATATACTGTATACGCTAAAGCCAGACACTTTTTCCCTCCCCGGAATGTGCCAAAATATGTAACTGGCGTAACTGGCAATTTAAAGAACTCTATAAACGTGGTAGTTAATAATAATCTTTTAACAAAATGGTTCGGCAAATCACCGAGAGATTTTGAGCATTTTTAGATAGGTATTTTGTGTATTTCACATTTTTATAATCGCTCAAATGCTGTATTGTCAATTTGTCATGCGACTTACATATGTTTATGCAGGCCTATTTGGCTTGATGAAACAACTGACAAGACTATAAAAGGCTTGGGACGTTCGATTTTTTTCCAACAATTCAAAATGCAATAAATTTCATTCAATTTTGTATAATTATTCAATATATTTTTAAAAGGTTGAGTTGAATGAAAGTGCGTAATATAAGCGACGAAGGGCTGTTAATTGCTTTCTCTTGTGTTGTATGATTATACGAGTGGCGAATTCCACAGGAAGTGTTTCGCAAAGAAAAAAAAAACAGATGGACTCTCACTCTCTCTAAACAATAACAATCTTGTCTGAAAAAAGTTCTCTATAACGATTTTTTTATTTGATGCCATATGGCGGGGTTCTCTACTCATGTTATAGGGGTTCTCTACAACGGAATACTCCCTACAACGATTTTTTCTGGTTCCTTGACTTTTGTTGTAGAGAGACAAATATCACTGTGGAATTGAACATTTTAAAAAATTTGAAAAGTTCATTCAACAATGACCTAATGTGTTTGAGTTTATCAATATTGATGCTCTTCAAGAGTAGCACACATTTCCCAGCAGATCCCAGTGAGCACAAAGTTCTCCAAGAAATGTCCAAAAATCATCCAAACAAGTTCCATGGACATTTTTGGAATTCATTTGGATTATTTTTGGACATTTTTTGTAGAACATGTCCGCATATCATCCAAAATTTTTGGACAAGTTTTGGAGAACTTGTCTGGCAGACACTGGCGCCAGAAGCAGGTGGACAAGTTCTCCAAACTTGTCCGCACATTTTGGATGATATGCGGACAAGTTTTGGAGAACTTGTCTGCCTCACGGAGGCGCCAGAAACTGCGGACAAGTTCTCAAAACTTGTCCGCAAATTTTGGATGATATGCGGACAAGTTTTGCAGAACTTTTCTGCCTCACATTGGCGCCAGAAACTGTGGACAAGTTCTCCAAACTTGTCCGCAAAAATCTGTCTGTCAGAGCTGTTAGTACAAAAGGGCATAATTGAGATTGGGCACTGTGTATAAAGGGCTGTAGCTGTCTGACTAAGGGGTCGGACTTCCATGCAGAAGCCCCTGGGTTTGAATCCCATCCAGGCCTGCAATTCTTCAGTGGGGATAGCTGCCCTGTAGGAAATAATTAACCTGAGTAGACCTAGAATAGGTAAGGAACTAGCTGTAGAAGAGACCTGGAAATAGGTAGGATAATTAAGATATATAACTAAGAGATAAGTAGAATGAATAAATAGAATATATAGCATAGATTATAATACCAGGATATTTAGATAAGCTGTACAGGAGAGATGCTCAGAACAATCTGTTCAATATTGGAGTGAACTGTGAAGGGTAATGAAAGAAATCATATCCTAAAAGTAATGTGCCAAAATCAGGATATTTAGATAAGCTGTACAGGAGAGATGCTCAGAACAATCTGTTCAATATTGGAGTGAACTGTGAAGGGTAATGAAAGAAATCATATCATAAAAGTAATGTTCCAAAATCTTGTGGGGAAGATACATTTTGCCCAAATTCACCTAAATTTCGTAAAAAAATTAAAGTTTTGGAGGGAAGGGGTCCTGATTGAATCACATCTTTTGGGGCTTCTTTTGGATAAAAATCGGGTAATATGTCTGATTTTTATCCAAAAGAAGCCCCAGATCCCTCCAATACTTGTCCAATTTGGATCCAAAAGGCAGTTGATCTCGGACATATTTTGGATAAAAATTGGACAATATGTCCGATTTTTATCCAAAACTTATCCAAAGCAACTTGTCTGAAACTTGTCCGTTTTTGGCCAGATTCTTGGATAAGTTGCTTTGGATAAGTTTTGGATCCAAAACGGACATTTCCTTGCTCACTGGGATGAGCAAAACAAGAATTTGGTTGAAAATATTGTGATGCGTTGAAATTACAGCTTTTCATGCATCGTAAAAATATGTACAGCATTTTCGAAAATGTTGCCATGCTTTCTGATGTCATTTGTGGTTTTTTGAAATTGTGAGAATAACTCTACATTACTCTCCAGAAATGCTGTAGTCTGTACAGTGAGACCCCAAGATGTGGACATAATTGGTGCATCAAGAGAGTCCCTAAGTTGAATTGTCCCTAAGTCAAGTCTTGTTTTCCCTTAGACTCACATTATATAATTTTTAATTGGTGTTTTATGGAAGAAATATTCTTCAGAATTCCCTGAAAAAAATTGTTTGCCTCTTGAATTTGAGTTAGTGAATACATGTTCAACTCAATAAGAACATTTGGAGCATTGAATAGTGAGTCTCTGTACAGTACATCAAAATTTTGGCATCTACAAAAATAACATTCAAGTGAAGAAAAGGTAGAAGTCCCTCTATGATGGAGGTAATTTTTTTAATGAGCTAAATTGATGGTGAATTGGTGAGAGAAATGCCCAAGAACTTTTCTTACATCAATTTTGGGTTTGGAAATATCTGTTTCTTGTAATTTGGCCTGAAATGTACTGTATATGCAATTTTATCACAAAATGTCCCTAGGCCAAGTCAGTGTCCTCATGTCAGGCCTTTTTATTAATTTTTCTGGGAAAGTAAGTGTCCCTATGTTGAATTGTCTGCAGGTCGAGGTGTCCACATGTGGGGGTCTCACTGTATTTAAATTATCCGCGATGACCATTTGTTGAAATTTGCGCACAGATAATCAGAGCCAATTGACCGAGTAATTCTGCAAGTAAAACACCACCCCGTAATCAAGGTTCTTTTGTCTTAGCAATATTGTTGAGTGGCGTGAATTTCTCGATCTTTGAAATTTGATGATAATCGCCACTTGGGATTCCTTTGTCCAATGCGCAGTTGTGACTTGTGAAGCCCCTGCCGAACCCGTGGACGGGTACATTCAGCCCAAAGGAGGGGCTTTCCGAGCAGGAGAAACCGTGAGATTCTTTTGTGCTCATGGCTACATGGTCGATGGGCAACCTATCATAACTTGTCAAGAAAATGGCAAATGGTCCAGGGATCCACCGCAATGTGAGCAGGGAATGGCGTGATTGATTTTTAAACCTGCCTTTTTTTCATTTCCATCGGAAGCTTTTTTTATTTCTATTTTGTTATACATCGACGTGATCGGTTCAAACTTTCCACTCAAGCATTCAGAGTTTCCAAGAGAATTTCTTCAACATATTTTGAAGTCTCGTTACAAAATTACCGCGAAATAAATCGAGGAGAAGTGCTCTTCCCGAATTTAAGAGGAGAATCCCTTCAAATCTGTATTTATTTTTAATTTTCTTTTTTTACAAATCAACATTCTTGAACGAAGACACGACGTTTTCAAGCAGAATAACACATTTAACCGCAGCATAAGTACAGTAAAAAAAATATGCTCCATGGAAATAAAATTTGTATTTTGATGGACATGAGGAAAACTGTGATAGGAAATTCTGCGATGCCTTGAAATTTTCTTCCCTCGTTCTTCGCAAAATGAAATTGCAGAAATAAATCATTAAAAAGAATGATTCAAAATTAAATCACACGCAATCGTATTCTACTCAATTTACGTATTATTTTTTTTACGCAACAGTTGAATAATACAGGAAAATTGCAGATATATTCCTCGTGCAATGCAAATTAACGTCATCCAATGAGAGTCTCAAGCGATGGGGTATTTTAGCAAAGTTATTTCTTTCCAAGCGTTTTCGAGTGGAATTCCTCATATGTAATGTATGTCCACAGGTGTGAAGGCTTGCACATACCCCGGTACGATCATAGACGGGACAACTTCCTTGCTGAAATATTATTACAGCATCGGAGAAACAGTGACTTTCGACTGCGGACCCGGCCTGACCTTGAGTGGAGCGCAAATGTTGCGCTGTTTACCAAACGGACAGTGGTCGAATGGCGTTCCACAATGTGTGCCTATCCAGTGAATTTCATCACAAAGATTCAATGATTGAAAAACAAAAGAAAAAGAGAGAGACAAAACCCGAGAAGATGATTATTGCTGGGGACGTGCGTGGATTCAGTTCCCGAATCAAAGCCTTGTTATTTGAACGTCGACTGGGCGGAAGAAAGAACAAATTTTAGGGAGCACTTGCTTTTTTCCAGCAAAACGGTTTTTTGGTGGAGGAAAAAATTGTGATTTGGTGCTGACCGTGTTGTACATGAAAAAAAAGAAAGAAAAAATGTTGTCGTTTCGAAGATGGGGGTTACCAGCACATGGGCGAGATCATTATTCTAAAATTTTCTTGATTCCTTTTTTTATCGTTTGAATATGATCCTCCTGAAAGGATTTTTCTCGAGTCCAAATTATATCCACATGGGTATGTACCCACAGTTTACAAAATCACTTGACTCAGTTGATGAAACAGTGCGCGATTGGCCAAATACGTTTCATGACACGTTTACTCAAAAAAAAAATTTGCTGAAATGTTTGCGTACTTCTGGGGTGTTTGCCAGAGATTTAAGGAATTGTGTGCGAGTTTGTGTGTGAGCAAGCCATGGTGAATAAATCTGACATTTTTCCAAGTGTACACGCATTTTTATTTGTACTGTATTTTGCAACAAAACAGCATTGGATTCAAAAAAATTTTGGCTGCATATATGAGGATAAACTGCCGCACACTGGAGAATTATCAATTTGGTTATACAGTACCGTATTTACTTGAGTACCACGCGCCCTTGAGTAAGGCGCTCACAGGGTTTTTTCAGTTGGAAATTTGGCTAAAATTGTATCCCCAAGTATAACTTGCGCACCCCAATTTTTAGTAAATCTAAAACCACTAAATTTCGAAAATAGAAACAAAAAGTTTGACTCTAGACATGAATTTAACAGAAATCTGACCAATTTCCAACTTTTTCAGTACAAAAAAGTTTTCTTGTCACTTTTTTCCAAATTTCTCAATTATGATCAAGTATAATGCACATATAACTCTCTAAAAATTCTTCAAAAGTTTGTACCCGCTTATGACATGCACCCCTTTTTTTCTTCTGAAATTTGAGAAAAAGGTGCGCGTGGTACTCAAGTAAATACGGTATTCTAAAAATATCTGTGTTCAAGCTTAGATATACATTTATGTCCAGCACGCTAAAAAAACTGTTGCTTTTTTTTCAAACCTTGCGGAATTAACAATATATATTACCAACATCAATAGCAATTGTACAAAAAAAATTACGATAGTGAAAATTTGTAAAGCCTTACTTGAAAATTTGTTCTCGGTGATAGCTATCATTGTTTTGCTACGACTGATGCATTTTTAACAATTTAAACTCGAACCTTTTGGACGAACGCTCGAAGAAAATACCCGCTCAAAACTCAGAATATTTGGCATTTTTTGCACTTCGTTGTTTGTTTTTTTTCTCAACAAAAAATCTTCCGATCACCAATCCAAGTTATTCTTCTTTGACAACGACTCGAGGGTTGGACTGTTTTCGGAATAAAATTGCGAAAACCAGCGTCGGTATGCGAGAATCATTTTGTCTTCTTTCACTAGCAGTGGACGTCGGGTGAATTTCTTGCTGTTCCACACGCTGATGTCACGTTCCAGCTTATTTCGACCAGAATAAGGCAACAACAAAAAATCGAAAAATGATTTCATGCGAGAGTTCGAAGGTTGAATTTTGCATCAAAGCCTTACTTGAATATTTTCGCCGTAAAGGAAAATCTTTCCGATGATCTTGAGCCATCGATTGCTGAAGTAAAATCGATGAATCATTCGTTGCATCAAGGGTTCCACTGGGGTGACAGCCTGCACCAAAATTCCTTTGCCGAGGCCGAACAAAGAGTCGAACCTCAGAATCACAAGTCCCGGTCCGCTCTTTGATAGAAAACATTTCAATGTGAAAAATTAACCGAAAAAAAAAAACATTTTTCCGACAGCACACTGACTTGTTCGATATTGGACATTATATCCATGAATGGTAATCGACGAGAAAACACTTTCCCGATGTGAGTCAATGCAACATTCGAGGTGTATGATGGACTACTTTGCGTCCACGAAGCTGTCCACGAATGACTGAAGATCTTGCTGAGGAATCCATCCAAGTCGTTCAAATGGGATCCTGTTGGAATTCCTGGGGTGTGCAGTACATTGAGATGAGCGACATCTGAACCATTCTCCGGCAAATCCTGAAAAGGCAGTTGAATAAGACACATTTCGCAAGGATTTGCGTTGGGTTATCAATTATAATGATTTTATAGCGTTATTTTTTAAAAAGTATATATAGTACCATTCTTAACTGTCCGATATAGCTGCAGGAAGGTTGCAAAATATCTTCTGGAAACTATTTAAAAAAAAAGGAAAACATTGAAAGAAATACTGTACTACGTTTCTTTAGCAGGTGTCCTCCTACCTCGCCTCGCCTTAAACAAATGTCAATTTCGGGAGATTCGCAGTTGAAATATTTCGATTCATCAAGGAGGTTCAGGTTTACACATGTTTCAAGGGGGCCTTTGGACAGGGACTTGAAATAAATTTGAGCATGTCCCGGAATGCAATGTTGATTCAAACCTGGATATGAGTGCTAATGTAATGTTCAGATCGCCCACAAAATGCAAATTGCCCGTCGTTAATCCCTTGCACATCCGGTGGTTGCCAAAAAGGTTCCTCGCCTTCTGCATGGTACCAAACCATGATTAATCCGAGACTTTCTGTGCATGGCCAGGTCTTGACCTTCGCCTGGGCTGGAGCTGCCATACGACGCAGAAAAAATAATAATAAGAAATTTTGCGAATTGTAAGCACGAGTACTTCAGTAAATTATTAGTACCGTAGTATTGTTCGTCTCTAAATATTCTGATCATTCCAACCCTTCTCTATGTCTGTAAAAAATTTAGAACAGGTGGAAAACATTTTTTTCTCATATAATCGACGAATTAAGGTTCAGTTTTGATTTCATGCCAGAAATTTGAATTTTTCCGCATTATCATTACACTGCACTTATTACAAAACGAAACTGAATGCGACGCTTATTGGGAATATGTGATAAATCTTCATGATAAGGCGCTCGAAAAATATATTCTAGCATTTTAAACGTCCTGTCTTGAAAACGAGCTTTTTTCCGTGACTATTATAAAGTATAGTAAAATTCAAGTCCCGGGAATAAGCATACACTATATAGTCCAGGTGATTTCCCGGGCCTCAAAAATATTTGAAAAAATAAACCGAGAAAGAAAAAAGGAAAATGTCGGATATCAACTATATACAGCAGGGAACGGATGATTGAACGTGGATTTCATTTTTAATTCTCGAATCCATATTTTACGAAATTTATAAAAGATACAGTATACATACGTTTTGATGCTGAATACGGAATAGACGTGCATTGGCCAGATTTCCCATCAAACAACCAGCCGTGAAAAGGGCACTGAATGCAATTGCCTCGAACTTTGCCCCCAATGCCCAAATTCGCCCCCAAATGAGGACAGAAGGCATCCAGTACATGTACTTCTCCACCAGTATCTCTAAACACCGCGAAGTTCTCGCCTTTTCGAATCCCGAAAAAAAAATTTTTGAAAACATTTTGTCAGTAATTCATTTATAAAAATTTACCACAATAACAAAAAACGATGCGGAAAATAAAGAGAGATGAAAACCTAAGGCTTGGATGAACTTTGTGGAACTTATTGGCAAATCGTCGCTTTCCAGCAAGGCGAACCAGCCGTTTGGATACACGGGCGGAAGTTCGCTGGCCATGTTCATCTTTTTCATTTGATTCACTCGAAATGCTCGCCATTTTGCTGTGAATCCTTGGTTTTCCAAGTGCTCAAATCCCACTGACTCGTAGGGCTATAACGAACAATTCAAAACCAAAAATTTACATAAAAAGTTTTCAATTCGAGAACAACAAGAGACATATGAAAGTACATATACGAGCATGCGAGTCGAAAGGGTTGTTTGGTTTTTTTTAGCGACATCCAGGGGTTCGTTAAAAATAAGCCCTTCGCCTTTTCTTAACCAACATGACATGTATTAATAAATATACTTTCATATAAACGACTCCTTCGAATCCCCGTCATCCTTAGCAGATCAGGATTATAAAAAGCATCGGAATAATTGCATGAGACGCGTTGGGAAGACTAATTAAAGAAGTTCCAAAAACTTGCGAGGATCACGTGAGTCAATTTGAAGTCCTTTTTAAAACTTCATTTTAAACGCTTTTCAGGGATTTTTAAATGATTCGTTTACTCAGTTACAGTCAAAATCAGATATATTTTTCACTATTTATTGTATACACCCCTACTTTCGACAACTTTAGCGGAGAAATGATCTCTTCATCAGGCAACATCCAAATATTTTAAATCTCCCAACCCACATGGACAAAAAGAACAGCTTCTTTTTTTCTTCCGAAGCTTTCGATTTTTCGCGAATTTTGCGATTTCCAGCCTTTTCAAGCATACATTATCAGAATAGAATGAGACGCATGTGCCATTCGTTTTCTTGTCAAGAATTCTTCCCTGAAAATCGTGCATTCACGGGGTTAAACCAAAAAGTTCTGCTTCTTGTTTGTTTACCGTCTGCTGATTGTATATTTTTACTTTTCAAGATATATACGCGAGCAATAAGCAAATACTGTAGTTCAAATATAAATTTTTCGAATTGAAATCACGTCAGCTAGTTAAATGCTATCGGCGGCATGCTGGTAGATTTTGAGCTTTCGTTTTCCACATTATAACATATTGTAATGCGAATTATGTTTTCAGGATAAGTCGGAAGACCCACAGCATGACACGATAAATCGATTTCTATATGATGCACTGTATTCGACAAACATTTGCGCCAAAATTATAAGAATTTTGGATGAGTCAGCAATGACAAAATATTCTTTCAATAAAACTAGTGCATTCTTCGAACTCACCTTCACACGATTCAGCGGTTTGTAGCAAATGAGGTAGACGACATAAATAAAAATAGCCAAACTAGCCGATCCCAGCAACAGAAACGCGTAGCTAGTTTCCCAAAATACTGCCAGCAAATATTCCGGCGACAATGTCAATCCATTAAGGAGGTTTTGACTAAAAACTTTGGCATCCATATTTCTCCGAAGCAAACTTCAACAGTTTCCCTTCTTCAGCTAGTACCATCGAAATCAAATTTTCTGATGTAAATAACATCCATGAGTCCCCATTTTCGCGGGGAAGCAACGATGAGCAGCTAATTTAATAAGTTAAATTTGATGGCAATGTACAACCGATGAGAGTGAAGAACTGTGAACGGAATGAACGCCTGCCTATCTCAATTTTTAGCAGTTTCTTTTTTATCACTGTTTTTGTTCGCCTTTTTTTATTACACCATTTTGCTGGGTCGCCATACGTACGAAATTTCCTTTTATTCATTCGCGATGACCGGAGAAGAATGGAGGCCGTATGTTCGACATCAAGAGACCAAGCGGATGTGTTTCTCCTGAACACCTTATTTCCCCAAGCTGACCGATATTCTTTTCTTTTTTATTTATTTCATGTGGTTCATGGCAACGGGGTCAGAAAACCATGGCAACCATGCCTTAATTGCTCCTCGGTTCTTGGCAACACCGCAGAACGATATGGTCAGTATCAGTTCAGGCGATGACAAATTATGAAGGTCGTTTATATACTGTATAGTGACCCCGATCCTTGGGTAAGATTTCCATTTGGTTCTACAATGTCAAAGCAGCCACAGCTGGTTTAAGTTCTTAAGTATGATTTAGCTGGGCTTCAATATCGTTTTAAATCAGATTTTCAGGCAGAAAATAATGCATTGCTGGGGTTAGAATGTTTCAGTATCAAGCTGAATTCAGGTTAGCCATTTGCTCATATAAAATGGGGCAGATGCAGACGTACTTAACCCTTGGGCAGCAAAGTTAGACTATTTTTGTGAAATTTTGTTGCACCTCAGAGAGGTGAAGAAAAAAATGACAACAGGTGGTTAAGGGGGAAGTCAGGAAAAATTCCAACATTTTTTTCCCTTGGCGCAGAAAATTTTTTTGGGAAAATTAAAAAAATGCTCAGGGAGGCTACCAGCTTTTCTTGCATTAATCTCAACTCTGCATCAGCCCACCTGGAAATGTTTTCCTGACCTTCAAAAAACATAAAACATGGGAGCATACAAAAATAATCCAACTTTGTCCTGCTATGGGAAAGAACCCTCCGCTGTCTGAGGGTTAATGATTAGACTGTTTCCATATGTTGGAATGTTCTGCATGTTACATCACATTTTTTGGTGCAGGAGAAAATCCCATGGGAGAAACAATCCTGCGGCCTGAAAATCCCAAAACATGCATTTTTATACTGTATCAGAAAAACCTCCTTTGATAACAACATTAGGCAATCGTATGTAAACAATTTCTAAATTATCAAAGAAGTCTAAATGCATTTTGTTAGTGATATTTAATTTTCAAGCACAATATTCAATATACAGTAAATGATAATGGGAATATAAAAAAACTTTTATAAAAACTAAACAATAAATTTTCAACTATACAAGATTCCCACCCAAATTAATGCAAGTTTATCACTTCAGAATGCCAAGTTGAGCTATGAAATTCATTGGAAAAGTACACAGTATATATCCAAAACAAATTCATGAATGAAGGCTCAAAATGGAAAAATGCCTCATCTTTATGATGAAGGTGAGAAAGTGAAGGTGAGGTTTTATTGAGAGAGGTTATTCCTAGTCCTTCCAAACCCTTGGAAGGAATTTTTTAATTCCTTCCATTGTTCTTATTTCCCTTGCACTTTCACAATCTCATACAATCCACCAGATTTGCATTCCTTCCAGACAGTTGGAAGGAGAACCCATAGAGAAAATGTTACAAATTCATAGCACACTGGATTTTTTTACCCCACAAGATTTGTAGGCCCACTTGATTGTCAGCCTCATGGGATTTTTTCTCCCATGGAATTTAATCATGAAGCCCTTGTAGGTGTACAAGGGCTTCAATAAACTAAACGTGTATTTTCCTCTGGAAGTTTTGGCTAAGTGTCCATATCTTGAGACACTATCCTGGCATATATGGAAAAGTTTTTGAATTTAAAGAGTGAGTCAAGTTGTCCACTTTTCAAGAAAAGCATCCACATGCCGGGGTTCCAAATGTTCAGAGTAAGCCAAATTGTAAAACAATTGTAGACGATTATGCTAAGGTACATTTTATATTGTATGCTTTTTAGTTAAAAACCCATGGCTAAAAATTTTGAAACTGAGGGAAGTAAAAAATAAATGGGGAAAGATATGGATCCACGGAAACAAGAAATTTTACAAATTTTAATGTTCCGCCAAAGACTGCTGGGATATGTCTACTTACCCTCATATAGGCTCATATACTGGATTGGTTTTTTGGACAAATTTCTACAGAACATACGAGGGTTCTAACAAAAGTTCTCAGAATGAAAATGGCTTCTTATCGCGCTGAAAAAAAATTTTTTCTTTAGGGCAAACATCTTCTTGACACAAAAAAAATAGCCCTGTTTGACAATTTTTGTAATTTTTTGAAAAATTCACCCTGGCAGAGTTTTGCTATCCACTCAACAGATGAGGCGCCCTTCCTGCAGTTTTTTTTTTTTGGGGCCCAGCTTTTTTTTTTGTGAGACTAGGACCAATTTATCCGATGACGAATTCTTACTGAGCCTGGTAAGAAATTATCTGTAAGAATTCTTATGTAACCCAAATAGAAAAAATACGATTGCATCCATTGTCAGATGTAAAAAAAATACATGTGCTGAAATCATCGTCGGATTTCAAATTCGTGCGAGGCATATGCGCACGCTTCCGGGTCTGCAAGAAGACTGACCAGCAGGAATAGGTTTTACAAAATGTAACCCAAATAGAAAAATACGATTGCATCCATCGTCCATCCTTTGTCAGATTAAAAAAAAAAATACAGGTGTTGAAGTCATTGTCAAATGTGTGCCAGGCATATGCGCAATCCTCGTGGTCTGCAGGAAGACTGACCAGCATCTGGATAGAGGGTATCCCATCCCGCCACCCCTGCGAGTATAGCCCGGCCTCCCCCTGCAAGGATGGATTGTCCCTATAGGACGAATTCTACCAGGAACGATTTCCGCAAGGACAAATCCTACCAGACCGGTTCTGAAAGGTTAGGATTCTGGAGAGAAAGGTCAAAAGATGACGAAGCCTGAGAAAGATGTAGCCTTCACCTGGAGCTTTAATCCCTGGATTATTGCAGGGTATTTTCTCATAATGGTGCCACTCATTTTCAATCCAGCTGTATAGGTACACTTGGAATATCAGGGCTGTTGAACAATTCATGCAGGCATTGATCATCTGTATGAGAACATATGTTGCCATTATCAGTATATATATGTCTCTGGGACTTAATTGAGTGAGATGCAAAAAATGTTTTCACACAGCTATGCAGCACTTCGTAGGCATAATGGGTGTTCCAAAATATTCCAATCAAATTCACAATCTTTTCATAGCTGCGACTGAGAATATTTTTGCGGATTTTTCAATTATTGTGGCCATCTGCATGCTGCTGCTAATCTTCAGCAGAACTTTTGTGTCAATAAGTGTAAACAATGCTGAATGTGGCGTTGAAAAGTTCAACACTGCTATAACAACCATTTTTGGGAAAGAGGTTCTTGAGTTTAGCTGCTACAAGATCAGGAAATCCTTGAAAAGTAAGCACAAGCTTGTTGCAATTTGCAACACTAAACATTATTAACATACTGCTCTTGTCCTATATTAGGCTAGTCTGTTTAAACTTAAAATGCAACTACTGTATTGGCCTCGGCAAGTGTTCTACAGAGGATTTTTTCAATCTGGATCAAAGAACCAGGTATTGCCAATAACTCGTTCCTTCCTTTATAGTACTATACGGTATAGTATTCTTATTCTTCTTTGCTTGGAATCACGAAAGCTCTAAAAATCCTGGGATTCCTGGCTTTCATGCACAATGAACCTGCTGTTGTGCGGATGTGAGAGCTTAAGCCCGCCGGCGCCATTCATTGATCTTGAGCAACGTTTTTCTGGCGCCGTTTGGATGGTTGGTTTTGGGTGGCGCTAAGGAACCATTCAAATGCACGTTTGAAAATACAGTATCTGCCCGGGACAGGGGATTTTTCGGTTATTAAAAAAAACCGGATCTATTATAAGGAGCTTCGACGAAAATCTCCTGAAATTTTACTGCAGCATTATAAATACAGCTTGCTCCACGGAAGGGTTGGAGGACCAAGTAACTACAGTATAAATAAGTACTGTATAATATAAGGAGAGATACTAGTGAGGATTCCATTGGGCTGGTTCACCTAAGCTAATGTAGAGTACTGTACTGCATTTAGAAATCGTAACTCTGTGTGAATAGTGCCCACGACAACTTGTCCGTCAGTCAATATGTCCGTCTTTTTCAATCAAGTGGAAGTCGGTGCCTCGCAAATTTTGGTAACACCCCCTTCCAGCGCCAGTTCTACTTACAGCCACTCAACTCGGGGCTTCGTCTTCCACGCCAGCCACTCCCTCTGCCAGCAGCAATGCCTTTTAGTGAGTGATTCCAACTACAAGTATTTAGCTTATATATTCTGGGAAGACTTCCGTGGCATAATAACATAACACACAATATAAGATAACATTTCTAAAATAAACTTTATAGTTTATACTTTCAAACATGTTGTATATTCTCTTTCACACCACGTCCAACCATGAAATTTCAACGCACAATTGGCGTTATCCATAAAGTCACTCATTCACGGCGTTGGGAGAGGGAGTGGACGTGAGGAGACCCTCAGCGGAGGGCGTGGAAGTGAGGGGTGGTGAGTTGAGAACTTCTGTGTCGTCCAGATTTGGTTAGGGACTTCTGCTGAGCTTGAAGAACGTCTGCGAAGCGAGTATGCTTCAAGGTTTTTGAGAGAATCGGTGACTATGGAAGATGTACGTGTAGTCGTTGAAGCTGTGAACGCGTACTGGGAGAGAGCAGAATCATTCCTCCAGATTTTGTAGTTAGTCAATAGGTGTGTATCAAAGGAATCTTACATGAATGTTTGACATGGTTAGTTACAGTATTTGAAAAATCCAATCCCATTCCTGGTGACTTCGAAATGTGTGAGATTCCACTTCATGTGAAAGTGTCGCGATCCGTGTGAATTCCGTGGAGACTTCAGTTTGAGCTTTCTTTGAAGCCTTCCTTCGCTGTTCAGCGACCGAATAAGGTTTACCTTCGTGTGCCTCCACAGGATTGATTTGTGTCAAAGTTTGCGTATTATTCGGGACCATGGAAGCGCTTTATCATCAAACAAATCAACTAGCTGAACATACCCAGCATAGGTTAGGTGTACTTGAACGATCCGTTGGCAAGGAATCGCTCGAAATTGAGAATGAAATTCAGGCGAACATAGAATCGATTCGAAAGTAAGGATCCTATTCTCTCGTGCACGTCATTCTCTTCTCACAAAGTTATCATTTAGGAATTGCGAGAGATTAGATGTGCTTGTTCAGAAGGAAATACCTGCTCGTCGGAGTACCTCGAAAATGCGGGTCGACCAGTTGATCTACGATTCCAAGCACCTTGAGGCAAGTTCGATCGTGTGTGGCGTCAAGATAATTGAAACTTTGACCGTGTATCCAACAGGCCGCTCTACGAAACGTTCGCACACGGAGAGAAAATCGTGAGAGGGAGCTTCGGGATCGAGAAGAATTGCTTGGAACTCGGTTCAGAACCAATGATCACGGTGACACGTCTATCATGATCGACCATGCCCTTCAGCATCATACTTCCCTACAGGTATCGCCAACGAATACGTTATTTCCTTTATGCCTTTCTGAAGTTGCTATGGATTGCCATTCGAAAAACCCTCCTACTGGAAAGTTTTAAGTATCATATCCTTGCTGTATGAACTGGAAACTAGTGTAGTCTCTCCCGAATCGATCTCGTGTAGGACAAGAGTTATATTGCCGTTGACCGTAATTCGTTCAGTTCTAAACATGGATATTGTGACGAAGGAATGATTTGTGCACACGGGTTTGTGCAATCCATGGATCAAATCCTTGTAGCTCTGATTCATTTGGTTGCATCATCGCAGAATGCACACCGAGGAATGGATGACCTCATCGGCTCGGGGACATCTATACTGGAATCTCTTCGAGACCAACGATCGTCTTTGAAGGGCGTCCAGCGTAAACTTCTGGATCTTGCAAACACACTAGGGCTGAGTAATAGTGTGATCCGCATGATCGAGCGCCGTGCCTACGAAGATAAATATATCTTGTTTGGCGGCATGTTCGCGACTTCGGTGATCATTTTTCTCATCTGGAAATATTTTGGGTGAACTGCGATGCTCCCGGATGACGCATTCCCTTAATTTAGCCGAAATTGCTCGTGGTTGTGAAGTTACCATTGAAGATGTTATCTTTTTTATTGAGAAAATGGTGAGGATTGCTTTCGAGAAAGGCTGGGTGTGCTTCGAGCTGAATTCATTGTTGGTTCGTCATTGCTGAGTTCACCGTTTGTGATGAATTTATTGTGAGCTCTTGTGGACTGGTCGCAGTTCATTAAAAGTCCTGCATTGATTTGCTTGTTTATGCAGCTGGGTTTCCGACTTCAGCAGTACATGTGTTTTCCGGATACTCGGTCCTTCTCGTTATTGTTCCAGGTTTTGTTTAATTTTTCGCATGCGGTACGTAAATCCGTGTTGGGATCACATGTGGATTGGTCCATCGTTGGTTTGTCAAGAAAACGTGAGTACTTGGTTGGTATCTCATTACTGTGTATGGTTTGGATAAGCTTGTCTCCAGTCTTTTCGAGGTAATGTTAGATTTTCGAATCCGTTGTGAGGATTTTTGGAATTCCAGCTTTTTGAGCCAATATCGCTCTAGCGCATCTGGTGATTCAGACGTGTGGTCTCCATCCGTATTAAAAAGAATGTTTGTATGCCTGCATCGGACGTCGATCAGATGCGACTGTGATGAAGGCTGGCGTAATAAATCGTGTAGGGCTGATGTCAGAGGTCGTGTGTGATCGATGGAACATTTTTGAGAACAGGCATCACCATTAACTTCAAATCCCCTACTGAAGAATTCTCATTTGAGGGACCCGACGTTTCAATCTAAGATCGATGTTGGTCTGGAGTGGGATTCAGAAAAGTTGAGAAGGCGGATGAAATGACTTCGGATAGGTTGATTTCGTTTCATATCTTACGTTAACGATCATCGTTTCCTCGGTTGATTTCGTTTCATATCTTACGTTAACGAACATCGTTTCCTAAGGTAAACGCGCAAATTTTCCCAAAAGTCGTTCAAGGACAGACGTGTGTTACTCGTTCACGAATGGGGATCGGTATCAAGAGATGCTTCGAATTATTTCGTTGTAGTACTTTAATACAGTACACAAGATATTGACGCATGTACTGACTGCATTTTCCGGCGAACATTTCAACTCGAACGCGACGTAAATGTTCACCGTAATAGAAAATTTTGTGTGTATGAGACGCTTTTTGTCTCCACATATGCCGTTTCTTGTTTCGTTGAAATCAGCAAAATTTCGATTCACACTGGTCCAATTTCTACCCTACGTATGAGTTGCGGCACTCGGTTGGATTTTGTCTTGAAAATATTTTCTCTTTCATCACAAATGTTGACTTTTTGCGACCTTCACTATTTGTTCCCCGAAGTTAGGATTCAAAATCATTTGTGACTCATACTGTCCGAAATATTGTACCAAGAATTGATACATGGCTTTTCAACTTCTCGTTCGGCTTTTTTTTTTAGAATCCGGATTTCTGAGCATGGAAATTAACATAATCTAGGACTCCACAAGAATTCGTTCAATTCGTCGAAGCATTTAGAGCTTTCTGTTTACCATTTTGGGTTGTAACTAATCCTTTTACGACTTTGTTCCTTATTCTTCTTCCAGGTGATGATTCCAGCGACGTATTGCATTGGTCTCAAGATTCCGCACTTAGGTCTTCTGTCAGGCAACATGTAGATAATTTGATGTTTAAGGGCACAGTTCCAGACACCAGAAAATTAAGTTGAACTTCCATGTATTGTACAGGTTAATTAAAAATTATTCATATCATAAACTTCTAATGACAAAGCAGGCTTGCTTACGTCTGCAGTTGTCCGTTTGGAATTGATCTTAAATCGATTTCGTTAAGATTATGACTAGCCCAGCCGAAAATCAAATCAAATTTTGAATTCCTTGCTGGGTGGATATTCGACAACACAGCACGGGGATCCACAGAAAATTGGTCTCAACTATGGATGCTTTCCTGGTCGTCGCTCTTTACTCTTGCAGGTAATGAATGATCATGTACAGTTTCCGGTTTTTCTCCCGAATGCGAAATCGTTTCCTCTGTCTGATGATTAGCCCTTTCGAAGGTACAGTATTTAGCGTGAGCCCGGTTGTCTGGCGGAGCGTGAAATATACTTCCTTGAGAATAAGGTGCAGTTAATGCCAACAGTAATCCTTTTAGTTAGGTCAGAATAGGAGATTTTCACCCAGATCGTGAACTGATGTATCTGGCTGAAGCACTGAATGATGCGGCAGAAATCAAAATCTAGCAGCTCAGTTCGTATTCCTAGTTTACATAGTTATTCAAGGCTAAGGTTTACATATTGCCTAAAATTCTGGTATCTCAATAAACTTCATGAACTAATGATTTTTTTATTTCATTTTCAAGGATTTGAAATTTTAGGAAGTCCTTCACGAAATCCAGAAGAGCTAGGTGCCCGTGACCGTGATAACTTGAACCTTCACATAGTTCTTCCAGAACTATTATTAAGGCTCGAGGCCGATTATCTGTAAGTTACTGTCTCGTTTTTCTCTGGCGTATTCCCGTTTACATCTTTAATTATTTTCCTACTCCGGGATCTGATTGCTTGAAGCTGTTGAGTCCGCTCTACAGCGGTTGTTGCTTCAGAAGCATCCTTTGGTTATTTAGAAAACTATCTGCAGATTCTTGATAATGCCTTGGCTGTACACATCAGTATCATCGTGGGATGGAGATTTTAAGATTGTCATCACGTTCAGTTGAACACCCATTCCAGAATCTTGAACTTGATTCAGATGTTCACTTTTCTCCTTGATGAGACGTAGATGTCGCATGTCCGGTGTACGCAATTTTTGCGGATGTAGTTTCGCACGGTCACATCTGTTTCTGACCTGAACACATGGTAAGATTCAACGAGTGACTCATAGATCGGTAGTGAATCCACTAGAAAATTACTTATGTGAAGATTTTATGTAAGCCCGAGAAGATTTCGGATGTGGAAGGAAATCCCGCTTTTTTCTTCTGATGTATTTTTGAGCATGTTGCTCCCATGTATCACTGGCACCGCAAACAAGACGATTGTTGCATTTTCGCGAAGTTTTAGTTGTTTTGAAGTTAATTTTGTGGAATGAGACCACTTTTTTGAAGCAGTCGATCTAGAAATATTTTACCTCGATTTGTGAAATCAGAATTTTTGCTGGAAGTATTGTTGGCTGAGTAATTTTTACTGATCACCACACATCCAGGAACTGATCGAAGTCAGGAAATGCGTTTTGTTAGTTTGTTCAACTCATTGCTTATTAATTATCTGAATATTAATCATCTGTCGAGGTTCGAAGGATAGTCGATCTTCGAAGGAATGAAAATTCGAGGCATCCTTCCTGCGTAAAAATGATACACGTCGGATTCTAGTGGGTATTGAATCTGTAAATATGTACGTAAATTTTGAAGGAATAAACGTGGCACCAGTCGAAATTTGGTGAATGAGACCCAAGCTCTGAGAACCTGTCAATATGCCAGCATTTGTGTATTTTTGTCGAATATGTTAATGTGCGTGTTATACTCGAGATATTTCGGGGTTCTTCTTTGACCTGGAATTGCGCTGTGAAGAGGAAGAATCCATTTTTTTTATGTGCTAATCTTCGCCATTATGAATCCCGTCATGACTTATTGAATCGCTCCGATTTATTCCAATCGTAACCTGAAGTAGGATTTAGATTATTTTATTTCCATCTATCTTTCTTCATCATGCGAGAATATGAATCGGAAATTTTTTTGAAAAATATTAAGACTAGGAATAGGTGGTGTTGAGTCAAGAACAATACAAATTTTGTAAAGTAATTCTCCCCTTGTTTTGACTTCCACTTTCGAAACTGGCAGCCATCTTCCTTCAGAATCATGAATGGCTTCTCTGTTCGCTTTCTTTCTTGAAGGGTAGAAATATCGACTCGATGTAATTTTTTAGGATTTTATTGTAATTGCAATTTAATATGTTCTCATGGATGACATTTTCTTCTCTCTGTTTCAGCGCGACGGCTTTGCATTACTTCGCAAGGACCAACAGAGAAGCGTCGGTAGAAATTATGCCGTGGTTGATGGAAATACATTACTTTGTGCCGAACGTCTCTTTTTCATTTTAGAATAAATTTGGTTCACGCCGGTTGCCTTCTCAGATTCAAATGAACCCAGGGTTATCATCAGAAACTCGGGTTTTGAAGTGGAGTCGGTTGGACAACTCCAGAGAGGAGATTGGAGTTGATCTGCTGCTGGAACTCCGCTGATGATCCAATGGTGGATTATGACGCAGGCGCGGATGAAAAACGAGCACAGAAACTGAAGTGTGTCGCGTGTTGTGATGAAAAGAAAAGTCGACGATGAGCGCTGGTCTCGCGACCAGTAAGAGGCATGAACGCCGAAGACGGGACCTTGTCTTTTTGGCGAAGGACTGTACCCAAGCCTCGGAGAAGTGTGATTTCGTCGGTTGTGGAAAAATCCGGAAGTGAAAAATGGGGGAAAAACGACGCGTCGACGGTACGGAGGATTTATCGCGATTTCGTCGTCGGACAGAAGCCGCACTACTGCTATTCATTCTTCCCGTCTGCAGTACGGTTTTTTCACGGGACGGTTGCAACGTTGATTAGGCAATGTGTAATTGGTACCGTGTGCGTTTTTGTTTGTGATGGTAAGGGTACGTTTTTTTTCACGGGATGGGCAGGGTTGCCAAGCAAACGCGGGGGGGGCGTGCCGGTTGGTTCGCCTGGTACGTGTCAAGCGTATCCGTTACCCTGAGGCACCTTGTCTTCATCGTCATTTACTGCAGATTTCTTCATGCGTTTTTACATTCAAAACTTACTAATTTAGCTGTGAATATGATCTCTCAATTTCCAGGAAAACCTCTTCAAGTCAAACTTCAAAGGGACCAGCTGACAAATTTGATGTAGGGAAACAAGTATTTTTGTTGGGGGAAAGCAAGAAGATTTAAAGGCAATTGTAATTGGTGATATTCTGGGTCTTAAAATACATCTTGAATGATTTGACAGTATTCTGAAGTGGGGGACAAAAGTTTATTTGTCCATATTAAACTTTCACTATCTTTAAAAACACATTTTTACAATTGTATGGCTCTTCTCTTGCCTGTTGCAAATAATGGCTGAAAGGCCTCCATAAAATTTGAGTTATGGATATCTAAGAGGGGAGTCTTTGAGTTAGGGAGCTGTTTAATGCATTGTTGCTAAAGGAATTCTGGCGTGGACTTGAAAAAAATTTATATTGGCATGCATTGTTTTTGACTTGTGGAGCTTTGAGTTATCAAGGTTCAACTATGAATGTTCTCTTGACAAGGAAACTTCATTGAAACCCTCAACTGCAGTGTTGGAAAATTAATGATCAAGTGAATAAACTCAACAAGGATGAAGTTATTTCTAGGCCTTTGGCGTAGTTTCTTCGATTTATTAATTGAGATATATTTTGTGTATCCAGAGTTGATAGCATTTGTTATTTATGATTTACAAAACTTAATTTGAATGACATTTATTGAGCAAATCTGTCAATGCTAAAATCTTTTAATGATTGTACTGTAGTTTTTGATGAGGTTTTTTTGATTTGTTGAAAATTACAAGCAGGCCTACCTTTATCATATTGTATTTCATCATTGGAGATTCCTTTATGATGAAATGCTGATGACTAAAATATGTTAGCCTGAATATCAAGTCCTTCATGATTTTCAGATGCGTCTGTTGTGCTCATCATTAGTCTTTCAAAGAATGGAATTCCTCCATATGATTTCTATAGTCCATGATCTGTATATGGGCGTTATGGGGAGTATAGATAATCATTTTTGTAAGGATAGGAGCTTGAACCCAAAAAAATGGTGTGAGTTACACTGAATCATAACTTGAAAAATCTGGGCTTAGAGAGGAAGACCACGGGTTTTTGGCTCAACCAGTTACAAAGGAAAGGCCAATTTTTTAACTATGTATTCCCGCTTTTAAAAGAATTTATTTCGAGGTGCAGTAAAATCTTGTTGCTAAGGAATGTGTGGAACCGTGACAAGCTTCAAAATTAAACCAACACTGTATTTCTGACAAGGGCCCGAACACATTTTTTGTGAGCATTAATTTGTTGTGACGAGATTCTACTGTAATATAGCATCAATACGTTTGGGTCTGTCGGTTAATAGATTTTGATTTGTATCTTCCTTGGCTTTTCTGTGTGATGCACTGCCCTACTGTGAGGAATCTGAGAAGTCAGTGGGAGTTGCTTGAATGCATCCCTCTTGGTAGGGATGAAGGGAGGGAAGCGCCAGGCATTTGTCTGTGTCTGGGATGGGAGAGTAATGGGAATTTGGAACTGGGTTGCACTACAGTAGTGTACTGTATCTCTGTCCGTCCCACACGGATTGTAGCGCCTGCGTGGAATTGAGGCTTTATTTATCTCGCTTTTACAATTCTAAGGGAATCGCCTACCGGAATATCATTTTTTTTGGAGTAGCTACTCAATTATGTGTACGAGGTCGGTTGTGGCTGTGACTTGAAAATCTTGGTTTGGAGATTACTTTTTTACGTTTTTGCCGAGCAAGTTTATCTGGTCTATGAATGTTCGAAAATTGCGAGTTTCATATGCTGGCGTGGACGGACGTTGAGATAAGATTAAGGTTAGAGTCTCTTGGATATTTTATGAATATGCGTATGTTTTGACGCTGCTTGAAATTTTATGTTATGCATGCAGTATAATCTTTTTCATTCGCGTTAGTTTGTCCGATTTAAACATTTTATTATTTATAATCAAGATTAGCAGACAGACACTACAGTAATCCTTTTTTTATACGCATGTGGGTGTAATGCCTAGACTTATCTTTTAGAAGATTTAACATCATTGAGATTCCACAGAAGTCAGATCCGTGTGAGAATCGGGCCTTTTCTTGAAAACGACCATGTTGAGATTTTTTGACGAATTTACTAGGCTTTTTTATGCTTCCGTGGCAGCTTTAATGATTTTCTTAGTATCCTCGTGTTGAAGTACCATGACAGGAATCCATGCTCACTGCATTTTCCTTAAAATACAATTTTTAAGATTACTGTAATGTAATTGTGGTGCCTTAACTCATACTTCCTACTCCGCCAATATTACCAGTGTTCGATCAAAAATCACATACATTAGCTTCTTTACGAAATTCTGAACGTAAATTGAATCCCAGAATCTTAACTTCAGTGGTCAAATGGTTACTAAGGAATGCGGACCGAATGGGTTCCTGACAAATGTCCTGTTGGAGTAATTGAGCTACTTGAATACTGTATATTATTCAGGATGAAAAAAGCATGCTAGTCGCAACATTTATTTTGCCGATGCTAGTTGGGAAGATAAAAGATTTATCTTTTATATCGAAATCTGAAGATACATCTTTAGATTTCGATACAAAAGATAAATATATCTTTTATATTTATCAAAGTATTACAATTTCATGAGCCAAGTCGAAATCTAAAGATAAATCTTTAGATTTCGACTTGGCTCATGAAATTGTAATACTTGTGGGAACTTATTCGGTCCAACTGAAGTGAACCAAAATATATTACGTTGAATAGGAGCTGTCCATTAGTACTTGAAAGAAAATTGGTTGCGTTGCTCGAAGCCAAATACCGTAATCGTATTTTGATGTTCTTCAGATATAGTTTTGTCTGATGCATCAATGGGTATCATCATGAATGGATGAGACTTCTTGGAATTAATTCTGCAAAGCACCCGCGGGTGCAATCGCAGCTCCTTTTTTTTTAGGAATTCTTTAACGGACTTATTTTTTGCACTGATGTTATGTTCTAACGCTGATAGTATGACGGTTTTCTGTCTTGAATTTATATTTCACATTAATTTTTGGGAAAAATTGGAATTTTACACATTTTTATCAAAGTTTATATGATTCTTCCCCAGATTGGAGGATTAGCGTCGACTCAATTCAAGATAGTGTTCCTCTATTCTTTCTCAATCTTGACCGTCTATCAGGTTATGCCTATATTTAAACCAACGGGTTTTTGCAATTTTGTTTCTCTTTTTAAAATCCATCCTTCTACAATAATCAGAGCTTAAATTAAAGGAAAATGCATGGCTCATTCGGTAACCTCTGACTTCGATCTTTTATTGGCCTAAATTAAATTTTAAATCTGACTCTTGATACAATAAAAATAGCAACAAAGCTTAAAGTCAATTCAAGCATGAATTTGGATTTTCCGCGAAATGGGATTAAATGCCTCTGAAAACGGGGCATGCATCGAAGGTGGATATCAGTTTATTTTTTAAATTTCTTGACGAAAACCGAGGCGTGCATCTTACACAAGGTTTCAGTGTTTCGTTCTTTTCACACATGTTTGATTGATAGCTAAGTCCTTGACATCTCAAGACTTCGTTTAAATTTCCGAATGTTACGGTATTATTATTCAGAGAGGTGAAATAGTTTCACTAGAGTCCTGGAGATGAGGTCAAAAGTATCTGTTCATATTTGTGACATATCCCGCGTAATTCAACTAGTAGAGGTAACATTTATGGGGTGGTCCCAAAATCATTAAATTATTTTATTTTATTTCTTGGCATACCTAAACTTGCTTAAAATCTTAATTTAGGTCAAGACAGAGTTTTTCCTAACGGCTTCAAATTTAATTTTAGTTCAACGCAATGCATCGCTTCTGTGTGTATCTGAAAAAACGTAAAATAATTTATGAATGGGTTGTCTAAGTACGATAGGTGAATTGTTCAGTCAAATCCGCGGAGTCTCCTAAACTGTGAGTGCAGCATGTTTTTATTTAGAATCAACTGAATGTCATCTTCGTATATTCTTGGTGTGCTGTTCTACGTTTTAACTGATGATGATCAGCATGGGAAATGTGAACATCTGAAATAATTTGAAAATTCGTTGAGGAATTTCCATTCCAGTTGAAAATGAATTTCTGAATGAACATAAGTAGGGAGATGGGTGAGAGAGAAATGCTGTGCTGAATCAGATTATGGAATGTCTGCTTATTTTAATAAATTAAATTCCATTCATTTTGCTCTTGCAATGGAAGGATAGCTTAATGATTACTTGCTCACATTAGAAAAAATTTATGAAATGATTGAAGAATAAATTAAGCACCACGGACAAAAAATATTATTTAGCATGTTGCACGATTTTATTTGTGTGCACCTTCATATGGTATTTTCCAGACTTCTACTCCATATGATCTCCACCGTATCTTCCCACAATTGTTTTACCGTCATATTTGGACTGTCTATCCATCGCATGCTGCGTTCCATCCCAATTTTAATAGGTGTGAATTACTGGCTGTAATTCACTGAAAATGTCTTGAGGGAGACAATGCAGAAATCGCGGCGAAGAAGCGTTTTCTGCCTGGTGCTCATGTGGAAAATGGGCTTTGGCCTGCCTGAGAATGATTAATCGTAGTGGACGAAAGGTTAGGGTTAGTTCTTGGAATTTATCAGATTGGAGTATTGCAATTTCTTCACTAGGTGAACCCTCGCGTGGAAGCCATTGAAGTTTTGCTCAAACCAGTGTCGTGGATGAGTATGAAGCGTGAGAAAGACTTTCATCCGGCTGTTCCGGTCGACTGAACAGAATGAAACTAGGGCGATTAAGTTCAACCTACTGAAGTTTCTTCGTTTACTGTTATATTCTTGAAGAAGTAAACTCTAAATTTTCGTTGTAAGGCACAGATAACTGGACCTAATAGATATGGAAAAATAGTCTACTATTTGTTCGAAAGATTTTCTGAAAATGCAACCTTGAATCGAAAGGTGCCCGTCTCTGAAGATCGAAAGCAAGGCGAAACCGTAGGTTGCCTGTTATAATGTAGAATTATATCGCTTGCGTAATGTTGCTTCTGGCTATATAGAAGTGATAGCGTTTTATGCTGCATACGTGGAAAATATTCCGTAAGTTCTTCTTTTAATTTTTAAAAGATAATTTTATTTTTTGATGTTCAAAATGAAGACGGTGATCATGCAGAAGCGAGGCTAAGTGGTCAGAAGTAATCTCGTGACGCCGATATCGTTATCTTCGATCGATCGCATTTCTTGTAGAATTTATCTCGCTATATACTAATTTAATGATCATACAGGATGCTCCTTATTCAACTAAAAACCCACGTCTGTCACTTCAGCAGCAATTTGATCAATTGCTTTCAAATTTCTATTCTTATTTCTGCTGTTTGGCGGGTACAATTCAAGGCGGACTTTCTCCAGACGATAGAAAATTCGCTGAAGAAAAGAAATACCCTGTACAGTAATAGTTGAGGGAATGCATCCATTTGGGACAGAAATTTTTTCGGAGAATATACAATAGCTTAAATTTGTGTTGAATTGTAGAATCTTTCCAGACCTCCAGATGGTACAGTAGAGGTGCTGATGCCATAGAATGATAGAAGTACTGTACTGTACTGTGTAACTCGAGGATGCCATCCTTCGAGGTTTACCAGGTCCAGCGACTTAGTTTTAGTGAGTTTTTGAGGCCTTTTTTGTTGTTCCCTATTTTTTTGGTAACACCCCTTAGTTTCTCAAGCTTCATAGATTTTGTGTAGGTGTCGCGTGTGGGGCATTGCATTCCCTTATTAGAATGTAGCCTAGCAATGGTTTCGGTATGAGTTCGTCGAACCTGAAATGTGATGCGTCACATGACGCCAATTTGGAAATGGATGAAAAAAAAATGAGATGATCCTCATCAGCCTAACGCGTTTACGGATAAATTATTTGAATGCAATACTGTATAAGAATTTTATTCCGCACTACCGCGCACTCGTTTTTGTGCGTCTCTCTTATAATCTGTTCCTTGGTTACAAATTCCGCAATGCCTTCGTCCAGACTCTTTGACCCAGATTACTGGGTTCACGCAAAGCATCTGAAAACAAAAATTAATTCCATTCGAAAGATTCATCTGAACTGCAGAACAGTATATCCCAGCCAAAACTAAAAATTAAAAATATTGAAAGAATAAATTTTGACACAAGCAGATGCCTGGAGATAATATTTTTATTCTCACGTCGGTTAGGAGTGCAGATGCTTTCCTGTGAAGATGCTTGATGCCTCTACATTTAATTTTAAGTATTAGCAAAGGCGTGGAACGGGTTCAGAAACTCTGCACTTACTTTCGCTTCGATTCCCAGAATGTTAAACTATCATACGTTATCGCAAATAAATCGTAATAATTTATAAATTCACTGCTTGGAGTCGAGACGGATTGAGAATGTTATCGAATGGGTTTTCGAGGAGCAGGATTTTTAAAGATGTCCTCTACATTATAAAACACATGAGGCAACAACAAAAATTTATGAACGAATATTCGCATCGCCAATATTTTTCTAAGCTGAATTTCGGCGATGAGACCTGGAATAAACCGCAAAACGTTTGTGCATGTGTGTTGTTGCTGATCAACAGAAGCTTAATCGGTTCGAGTTTCCGGGTAAAGACATGAAGGAAAAAAGACAAAGAATAATCTTTCGCTTTTCTAATGGGGAAAAAAAATCCGATTTGTGAGACGAAAGTTGACTAATTTTAACCGTGTCAATTCCTTGAAATCAGCGCAAGACTTTTTAGTTATTTTTTTTTCCTTTGCGACGGCCAAAGGTTGTCATGATGACTCAAGTATATTCTTCTTTTATCCTTGGCTCATTGTATGAGCTATTTAATGAACTATTCCGTATTCAGTTTCTTCAGAAAAATTTATCATTATATATTTTTTTCATATCTGATTTCGTGTTTTTTCGTTTCAGAATTCCGGGCGACGCGAATTCCGCGATGTAGTGTGTTCGAGTTCGCGAATAAGTTTCGTTTGTTATTGCAGCTTTTCTGAGAGAGTTAGAGTGGGAATCTTGTGAAAAATGGTAAGAACTTAGATGATTTGAATTTTCATCATCAATAATCTCTGTATTCTGTATCGAAATTTCCAGCCACCGATAGATCCTCATTTGCTGTTATCGACACTTTCCGTGTTGCTGGATGACAACGGCGGGATCCAAGGTCCCGAACAAGTCGAACGTTTGCATAAGTAAGTTTCTTCTAATCCGTCCGTTCTTTGATTTTTAATGAATTTTCTTGTAAATTTCTGCCTCTCCCTGCAGTTTAATGAAACGGTTCAGCAAGAAGTTGGTGTCAAAAACCGTGTACGTCTTAATCGTGAAGGCGACGACCCCTGAATTAAGAGAGCAGTAAGTTATTCATGCGCACGAAAAAGACAGGATTCCCTGAAATAATTTGAAAAATTGTTCAGATCGATGATATTTTAGAGTTTGACCTAATTTATTTCTTCCGTTGCTGTAGATTTATTAGCATCGGTGGCTGGTCCTTGATAAACGGTTGGCTCAACGATGCCTTTGACAATGAGCAGTGGGAATTGCTGTCCGAAATTCTTGAACTTCTTGACATTTGCCCGACCACGGTTGGTATGCTCCGGGAGAATAATTCGGCCAAAATCATCCGGGAGATCAGCAAGGACCACATCAATCCTGGTACGACTTTGGAAAAGTGCAAAAAAGAACTTCCTTGAAAGTTCTTGCAATGTATAGACACCTGTTTTTTTGACTTCTGGAAGGATTTTTCTCCTATTTTTTCTCTTTGCAAGAGCAAATTTGCTTCAATAAAACAATCTTGAAATGAATCAGTAAAGACGATCTTTTTTGAAGGTTCACCTGATTTTTTAAAGCTAAATAATTTTTCTCAACGTTTCTCTTCCGATTCCTCTTCGCTGTAGTTTTCCTCCGAAAATGTCTCTTGAATCATCCAGGGTAGCAGCAGTGGTCAAATCCCGTATTGCCATAATTGCTTGTGTTATAAGCATAAGTTTCCCGAATTCAAGCTCTCATCATCAGCTGGAAATTTCTTCGAAATGCTGAGAAATTGTAATCATAAGTTCAATCTGGCTTTTATAGAAGTTGTCGATTTTTTGTTGCATGTATTCTAGAGAAACAGCGTTTTGACATTTCTGTTTTTTCCTTTTATTTTAAATTTTTATCTTCAATTTCTGTTCACCACGTAAAAAATGCCAGAATAGAGCTGTATGAGATGTATTTTAGATAAAAGTGATGATTAATTTGAGATTTGTTTCTTTGTTTTAATTGGAACACTGGAGTGTGCATGTTGTGATGGCTATTATGAATGATTCATTCTGTAGTTTCAATATCGATGAATTAGACCTTCTGTTTGTTTCATTCTAGCGATTCAAGCCCACGCGGCCAAAATTTACGACGGCTGGTTGAAAATAGTGCAAGAATCCACCGCGAAAGAAGAGTCTGAGGAAGAAGAGGAATACGATCAAGTCCCGGAATCCGATGACCAGCAAGAGGACAACGACTCTGTCGGTGCATCGTCCTCATCATCTTCCGGCTCAGCAGCCATTCCCACGACAAAAATCGTGCTCAAGAAATCGGCGAACACTTACAAGATTGCGGTTCCTGCCAAGAAGTCGCGATTAACTGCTGCTCAAAAGGCCCAACAAGAAAAAGAACGTCAAGAACAAGTAGCGCTGCAAAAGAAGGTGAAAGAAGCTCAGAAACGGAAAGCTGAGCGAGAAGTCGCGTTACGAAACGCGGAAATCACCAAGAAAGAGAAAATCAAGGATAAGGACAAAGACAAGGAAAAAGAAAAGCACTCCAAAAAATCAAGCAAACCTGACTCGGAGAAAGAAGGAAAAATTCGACACAGTTCTTCGAGCAGTAGCAGTAAATCCTCAAAATCAAAGCCTTCCAAGAAAGATCGACACGAAGAGTCTTCGTCGAAGGAGAAGAAGGAAAGCAAGAAGGAGAAAGACAAATCAAAGGATAAGGAGAAAGAGAAGGAAATGAAGGACGAAAAGCCAAAATCGAAGGACGACATCACGAAAGATGCCACTAAATACGATGCCACTCTGAGCATATTGGAGCAGCTGAAATTGCAACATAAATCTCGAGGAAAAAAGGTCGTCAAAACCTTTTCGGCTAAAAATCGAACTGCGGGACTCATCGAAGACATAACGCTGAAAGTTCAAGAAAAGGACAAACCAAAATTAAAGGAGACCGAGAATAAGTCAGAAAAGGTTGTTGACAAAACTACCGATAAATCCGCTGTCGTCAAGGCTAAAAAAGCCGAAACACCGCCTATCGTCAAACAACCATCAAAAGGTGAGTTTTTATATCTTCCTAAATATTCCTGTGCATATCAACAGCAGTTATGACATATTTTATGTTTTCGCGTTCAATGAAGTATTGCTCACGAAAAGAATACGTTTAAACTCCTTGCGCATTTCTACGTGCGCATATTTATATCCTCAAGCGTGTGGTGAAATTTTCAGTAAACTAAGTTGCAATATCGTCTCCAAAACGAAAGTTTGTTCTTTCTTTTTTCTTTTTGTTGAGTCTTTTCCAATATGCGCGGTAGGTTTTCGAACTCTTCATGATGGGGGAGAAGTTCCAGGTAAAAGCAACCTCGTGTATGTTTCTTTCTAGTTACACTCATTCGGGAGAGCACCAGTTTCTTCGACGCTCTCATGGCGAATCCAGTTGCCGCACCAAAGAAGAAGAAAAGTGCGAAACCGCCGCCAGCACCGCCGCCAGTTGCATCCGTGGCTTTTTCTGCTGCTGAATTACCGGTGATGTCTCACGGCAGCGAAAGACCCGGTGGGATCAAGCTGTTGGATGGAATGCCAGTTTTACCGAACCCTAATCCGGCTGCTTCACCGAGCACCGAATCGAAATCAGCTGACCAGGAACCCGAAAATGTTGTTAAAGAGTTGAATGTAAGTTTGCATCAGACAGTTGATAGTCTTCCCAGGATTTTTGGCAAAGCTCAGGTTCAACAAGAAGCTAGGAAGATTTCTCGTGAAATATAAAGCAGGTGTAAAATAATATTAATATCTTTGTGGAACGATGCAATGGAGGCAGAAATAAGTCAAATTATATAATTTGAAATCTTTAATCGTGTCTGAAGATCGTTTGGGAGAGTTTATGGTACTTCTTTGTTGAAACTACAGCACCCTGTTTTTATCATAGAGTAATTGCGAGATACATCAGTGCTACAAGAACGGCGACTCAACTCCAATCATCGTACGTGAAACTAGATTGATCTAAAACCAAATAACTTTTCCTAATTCATCTGAAAGCAAATATTCGACCCTAACTATTTTAACGTGAGGTTTTTAAAAGCTAAGTTTTGGATTCTGTTAGTGAGATACAGGTACTCTAATGAATTGAAATGGAGATGTTTCAAAATTTGAGCCAGTCTCTAAGTGGGTTATTCTTGGACTAGTTTAAAAAAGGCTTCCGTTTCGACTGACGGCTGGCTCTCCTGCGGAATATCTTCGAGATCATTTTTCACTGTTGAAAACGATCATAGTCTCTGAACTTCGATGTGTAACTTAACGTCGTGTTCTCTTCTAGTTTTACAAGGATACTCTGCGTGTCCAACCTTCACCCGAGTCAACAACAGCTGTGGCCGGTGAAAAAAGAGGTAAGAATCGCAGTTTTATTAGTCTTGCCTGCTGAAAATCAAGGAAATGATCAACATTTTCAAATAATCATCAGAATTGGAAGTCGACGAAGCGGAAGGTGATGACTCGACGCCGAGCAAAATCCCGAAGCTGGACAAGGCTGCTGCTGAAAACCTTGATTCTGTCGCCGATGTCGACGATGATGTAATGATGATTGATGACGAAGGGGGTTCGCCTTCTGCGACACCCGTCGTTGACGCGTCGCCCGTGATACTTAAACGAGCCCGTTCCGGTATTCTTGTTACCTACGGTTCTTTACCAGAGAACCGTAATAAACCCAAAGGGCAGAGACGGGTATGCTGGCGAAATGATGACAACCTCGTCGAAGTTTGTCATTTTGAGATGGACGAAACTGAACGAGGTTTGGGTTACTTTTTTGACACCATTGAATTGAAAATTTGGAACCCATCTGAAGGGGATTTTTTGCTATGGAAAAGGCTTATACAATAATCTTCCCTTCTAAAATGAATCCTGGAATTCAGGCTCAATTTCCAAACTTCTAGATTATATTAGGTTTATAGTTGCGAAGAAGCTGCACGTTGGGCTGAATCTTGAACTTTCCATGGATGGAATTCCCGCAGAACGCATAGCTTCATTTGCTCATGTGTTGAAACGAATTTTCCATGAATTCTGCGCGTCATTTGAGTTTCGTGTGATTTTTAAGAGCTAGATTATGTGGTTAGCGCGGTAGTTCCCCTATAATACTGCAGTGTCCAAAAATCAGGCGTTGGTTCTTATTTAAAAATCTAAAAGAATTCCGAGAAAACATGTTTTCTAACACTTGGTTGCGGGCTTGAGCTTCGTAATGTGAAAATGTCAAGCCCAGTGTACCGTTTCAAAGATTCTATTATCCACCTGCTTATTTCGAGTCAGACGCTTTTGAACTGTGCTCTACTACAATTATTTTCTCGACAGTGAATGTGAACAAGCTGAAATTCAAGGAACAAATGATGAAGGAACTCATGGGAGAAAGAGCTGCCTTCCATCGGGATAAACATCCTTCATGTGAGTGCCTCGAGGAAGCGTCAGAACGAAAAAAAAATCCTCAACTTTTCAACATTTTATTCCGTCTCTCTTTTTGTTGCGTTCTCTTGCTCCAGTTGGTTTGACGCCTCAAATGCCGTGGCCGCAGAATCGGATAGAAATCAAGCACATCGGGAAGACTGGGGAAGATGGACGCGAGTCTGAAGAGAAGGTTTCATTAGACTCGATGCTTGCGTTGCAAATCAGTCCGTTTGTCGTGTAAGTTTGATTTTTCTCGTGAACTACAGTGTATGAATTTCAGCAGTTCTGCTGGCTGCTTGATTTTCTTTCACTGACTTCGTCTCCTGAACATGTCACGATCACGTTCATAGATAGCTGTGAATTTTGTTTTTCCAAATGTCATTCACTCTTTTTGATCGGTGATGTTCCTGATGAAGTCAGCCAGTCAATTGTACCCAGGGGACGCACATACACAGACCGATTCTAAGACCGAATGATCTATTATGGCATGAATAGTAGATCCGAAAAAGGACCCGATAAACGTAATTTAAGATTATTTTTTTTTTGCTGTGGGAAATTCGTATACAATAGAGAGTGTCGAGTCTAACTGTATTTTGCAAATGCTCATCATTTTTTGTAAGGCTTTTATTTCTGTACGTGAACAATGCGATGGTTGCTTTTGCATTATGGCATGAATCCGCGAGTGCACGACAAAAATCAGTTTTAGGCATTTTTTGTTTTGTTTGCTTCAGTAAGGGAATCGTTCTCGATCGAAGGAGTCGAGTATAACTGTATTTTATAAATGCTTATTATTTGGTTATGCTTTCATTTCTCTACTTGAGATAATTCTATCGTTGCTTTCCGATTCTTAGAGTCAACATGGAATCGGCTTCAGAGCCGGCGTTTGACCGGTCACCTGCGCGTGCCATTCCGTTCAAAGAAATTGCCCTTGAAGACGGTCTGGATCCCCGGAACCGAGCACCGGACACTTTCCATGATCACCGGAAAACAGAATGGCCTCAGCCCGTGAATACTGTCGCATTAACTGCCCCGATGCCTACGAGTGTTCCTCCACCACCTGTGAACGGCGGTGTAGAAAGAAATCCGAACGTTGGATGGCGGGTTAGTATAGCACCGTACAAAATGGTGTTTGCATTAATAATTCCTACTTTTGCGATATCATTCGTGTTCTGTCAGGATTTTTATACGACTTCGAATGCTGCTGCTGAAATGTGGCACGTCTCGGTGTCTAAGGATGTTTTCTGGTTCAATACTTTTAAACTTTTGTTGTTGTTTTGGATTATGATACAGTTGAACCTCGTCGATAACTCGAGTCCCCCTCTGTCGAATTTTTTCAGGTCCCTGTCTGATTTCCTGTAGAAAGAATGCATTAAAAAAAGTAAATCGAAGGCTCACCCTCATAGTCAAGCCTCCATAACTCGAATTTTTGTGGCCTTATGGCTAATATTTTATTGGCAAATTGAAGAGAAAAGCAATGGGAAGTGTTACTTGAATGTGTTTTGAAAGGAAATTAAATGCTAATTGGGCAGATGAACCCTTGCCTACAACTTCAGCTCCCTGTCATCTCATTTAAGAAGAACTTTAGGGCCGAGAATATCACCAACACCAATTACAATTTCCTGTCATTCTTTTGTTCCCACTACAAAAATACTCGTTTCCTTAACTCGAATATGTTTGCTTTCCCCTTGAAATTCGACTTGAATAGGAGTTTCTACTGTGGTTTCGACGTGTGTTAATGTTAGCGTACATCCTCCCAAGAACCGAGCGGAACGATAAGTCCTTAACGCGTCAATATCCGTTACTTTATGCCTATTTTCTGTGTCTTTCATATTGTATCTGTCTCACAATTCCATACATATGCGCGATGCGCCCGTTTTTCATTTTTTTGTTTTTTCAGCGTGAGAAATTTTCAATATCACAGCTTGAGCTGATGAAATTCTCGCCAACCGTGGGTTGAAAATATAATGCTTGCGCGGTCTTTCTGTAAAAATTGGAAAAGCAGCGAGTTCAAACAAATCGCGCTTCAGAATCATCGAGAGTATCGTCCAGCAGTGTTGTTCAATAAATTAAGGAAGACTCGAGCGTGGATAATTTCTGTTCAATTAAGTTATTGTTGACAGCCCTATTAATTTTTTTTTCGGTTCTTCCTGATGCAGGCTGGAGATGCCAACTCCGTGCCGGCACCTAATATGGGTATGTCAGGGATTCCTCCGCCGGGAATGCAGCCGACAGGACCTCACTTGTTACAAACACCGATGGGCATGCCTCCGCCGGGTGCCATGCAGATGCCAATGCTTTCACCGATGGTGCCACCTCCTGGTGCATTGTTGCCAGTTCCTCCTCCGCAAGGTGCCATGGGTCCTGGTCCTGGTCCTGGAATGCCCGTGAGTAAAAAAAAAAAATTTTTTTCCTGTTAGTATTGATGAGGAATGCGTTATTATTTCACTGTACCTCATGTACCTCATCTCGCGTAGGACAGGGCAGACGCTTCCAAATTCTCTTGCATGTGAAAGCATGTGCATTATGTGACTTTATGTTCGATCTGGAAGCAAGTACTGTATTTTAATTTCTCTTCGACTGTGAGCACTCTCATGGAACACTTGTTCGAACGGCTTGGACTAGGCAAATTTTGTTTTTGAACTTGCAGTAAATTCATGCAGATGCGCTTTGGACGTCTTGCTTTTTTGTTTTCTTCATTACGACGAGATTTTGATTTTACTAGACGTGGCTCAGGTCCCTCTTTTTCCAAATTTCTTCCCAATGTGCTTCTATGCTTTAATGTTCCCGACCGATCAGTTGACCTACCTGATGGGTTACTTGAGATGTGTATGATATCTTGATTATTTGGTGAGGTTGGCTAGGTATTCTATGTGATGAATTGAGCAGTTGACTAGGTCAGGTTGTTTTTCAAAGTTTTGCGGAGATTAACTTCCAATTTGCTGAACATCGTTCAAGCGAGGATGCGTGAAATACATTGATGAAGTTGTGGCCTACCTTTAGGAAGGCATTATCAAAATTAGAATGCATCTTAATTTTTTTCCCTGGTTAAATTCCGATTTGATGACGCATACGTTTTGTAAATTATTATTTTTGGTTCCTAGTTGAGGATTCCTCAGTTGTTCTTCTTTCGTTCGTGTCCATGATACTTAGAAGATATTCTTTTCGAAAATCCAGTGCCGTCCTGCCACATTTCCTCTCATACTTCAGTTCTCATTACGTGTTGCTCTCAAATTTTAGATGGGAGGAATGCCGATGTGGGGTGGTGACATGGGTGGTGCCATGGGTGGTGCTCGAAAATCCAGTGCCGTCCTGCCACATTTCCTCTCATACTTCAGTTCTCATTACGTGTTGCTCTCAAATTTTAGATGGGAGGAATGCCGATGTGGGGTGGTGACATGGGTGGTGCGTACCCACCACGGTACCCACCACGTTACCCACCACGTGGAGGACCTGGGACCCCGCAACCAACCCAAGGCGGACCTGGTCCACCAGGGTACTACGCCGGTGTCTACGGGTACCCATACGTTCCCTACCGTATGCCTCCATCCATGGTACCACCGCCAATGAACATGGACGGGAACAACATGATGCAAATGCAGCCTCGATCTGTAATACCGCCACAACGGAACAATAACGAAGACATTGATAACAGGTCAGTGTGAAACGATTGCGCGCTGAATTCAGAAACGAAAACAAATACTTTATGATGAGTCCATAAAACCTTCTTCGAAAGTAAACCTTGAAGAATGTGTGTTCGATTTTTTTTATGTGCCGTATTTGTACTGAACACATTAACTGGTGTTCATCGTGCACGTATTTTTTTTTAATTTTGCGAAAAAAGAGGGGTAGCTTATTAAATACCGTACGTGAATCGAAGATGTAATATCGGGGTATGCATTTATATTCGGATCTCGGACGGAATTTCATCGTCGGCAGCATATTTTATTTTCTGTACTGTTTGGGAAGAAAAGTTTTGATCAAAATATTACTCATCCGCTGAAACTTCGACTGACTTTTTTTTTCGTACCTACCATCATCACAGACGGTTCAATTCAGACCGGCGGGACGATCGACGGGATCGTGGAGACGACAGGGATCGGTCATCATCTCGAGACAACGACCGAGACCGGAGATCCGGGTCCCGAGAAAGAGGAAGGGATCGAGATAGATCAGACAGGGATCGGGATCGAGATCGTCCGAGGGATCGGGACTGGAACCGGGACCGAGATCGACGAGAGGATCGAGATTCGCGATGTAAGTTTTTTATAACGAATTTAAGCAAGTCCAATTTTTTATTCTACTGTACAGGAGGTGATGCACAACTTTGTGGATAAGGTGAAGGGATTTTTTAAAATTCCAGCTTCTCAGTCATTTTCTTATAGACACCTTACGTATTAATAACGGCTGACGAGCCTCGACGCAAGCCTTGTGTCGATTTGCGAAGGATTTTTTTTTTCGATTTAACCTGTGTCTTGTATCTTGGTCTGAACAACTGCTTGCTTAGCGATTGAGGGCAACCTTTCCGATCGCCATTAGCACCGACATGAATAATTTTCAAATGTCGTGCTGTATTTTTAAATCGCAGCGTTTGACATTGTCCGCAAAAATTTGTCACTTCTAAAATGTTTTTCTACTGCCATGTGTTATTGTTCCGCTCTGCCAATTCCTGACACATGCTTGTGTGCCTAATGAACCTAATTCACTTGATGATGGGGTTACGTCAAGTTTTTTCTTTTTCAATCGGGGTGAGCAAAAATTGGAGGTGATCGGAGTCTATAATATAAAATATCAGTCGGTAACGTCGATCTCCATTCGCTCTTCGCAAGCTTTCGGACCGTTAATTTATCATATCGGTATCAATTTTCATGATGCACCAGGTATACGTATCATTCAATTTTTGAGATCGTTTACTTCGGAAGTTGGATAGAAAATGAACATCTTATCGAGCGCTAATTCTCCGTGATTATCGATCAGGAGTGTACATTGCGTCAACGGTGATTTATATTCCTAATCTTGAATAACGGGAAACGTACAAAAACGCGAGAGTTGCTTGAAGAATTATGTTCTTAAAAATCCTATTTTTGTTCCAGCGGGTCAAAAGAAGCAAGGCCAATGCACGTTCTTCTTGTCCAAGGGTTGGTGTCGCTTCGGGGACGATTGTATCTTCTCCCACAACAAACGTGCTCAGTGACCGAGGTAGTCTTCGTTGGTGGTAAGTTTTCCGCGTTGGAATTGTATAAAAATTTAAATATAATAATTTTTGTGTCGTGTATGATTTCAGATGCCCTCGGCAAATGGAAGTTTCTGGGGTTATTCGAGTCACGTTCGAAAAAATGGCGAATCGCTCGACATGTGATTTCTGGCATGAGAATGCGTGTGTTTTGTTGACCGCGGAACAACATATTTTTTCTGCTCGTTTTTATGAAACGTTTCTGCGTTTTAGAGTTTTGGAAAGGATGGTTGGGGTGCGAAATTTTGAAGCCGTGATTATCAGCGAGTTTTTCACAGCTTTTATTTCGTTCCTGGATTTTTTCGAAAGATTTTTTGTCTTTTTTTTCGAGTACAACCGTGCTTTTACTGATTTGGACTCGAGTATTTGTTTTTCTTGGGTTGAAGTTGTAGGCTTTGGTAAAAGTGACATTTTGAGGGGTTTCTGTGCTGGAGTTCAGAATTATACTTTTGGTCAAATTTTCTTTCATTTTTGTTGAGCTTATTATTGAAAGCTGGTGTGATGAATGACCGCTGAAGAAAAGAACGTTCCGAAATCCAACGTTTTGAGTATTGAAGTTTAAAGTTTTTTCCAATGCTTATTTTACTCTTCTCACGAAGTTTCAAATATGGTTCCGATTCCTCTCTTCTTTATTAGATGACCATAAGGTTTACTGCCTTGACTATATGGATTGCTTTCTTCTACTTCGATGAATTATGTCGTTTTTATGCTTAATGCGAGTTTTGATGTGCGAGTTGTTTTGGAATATACTGAGACTGCCTGTGAAGCTCATGTCTTGATTCATTCATGAAATGCGTTTTTCAGATGAAAAAATGATCAGCATGATGTGTCGTCGTACTCGTCGAAAATTCTATGATTGATTTTTTGCATTCGAATGAATTCCGGGGCAAAGATCAATGGTTCTCCATGAATAGGTGTGCATGTGTCAGATCCTCTCGGCAATTTTCTCATAAACCTAGCATAATCTGATGAAAATCTCCGTCATTTTTGTAATACAGTAGTTGTGATGCGAATTGTGCTTGTACATTGCAAGAAGAGGGAATATTATGCACTCATGGTTTTCTCTTTATTTCTTATTCCTATTAGACGGTTTTGAATTTCAATTTAACCCTGGAAACATATTCAATGTATTTGTTTATGTTTATACTTAACTTATACTCACGGGGCTCTAAATATAATTCTATCTTTGAAATTAAAAATCACCTTAAATTTTCGACATTTGCATGAAAAGAATGCGGAACTATGCTGTATACAATTGTATATCCTGTACCGAAATTTCCAGCCAACAATCTATACTTGCTGTTATCGACCTTTTCCTTGTGTTGGATGACAACTGCGGGATCCTTAGGTTCCAAACAAGTCAAACGTATGCAGCATAGATACTTTTTTTTTTCACAAAATTTCGACACAGAGGGAGGTTTGATCGAGCTCCAACTGCATTTGTGATGGCAGATGAACATCATGCACACGTGATTATAAAAGACTCGTGAATTTTATCAATTATCGCGTTCGTGTCGAGAGGATCAATGCCGCACCCATTTCGGAGCCCTGAGCATCGGCGGGTCACGTGTCGACTATACATAATATCCGCAACAGGTCGGAGGGATCCCCATATAAAACTGAAAATATGGTGAAAGGTGACCTGAGTTATCAACCTTTTCCCACGGTTCCTGCAGCTCGCGTCGTTCTGACTTTAACGTTTTGCATCCTGTCGAAGTTTTAAGGGGCGACGAACATAATCCGCCAGCATTTTATACCGAGTTAAAATACCGAGTTAAAAGCCGGGTTCAACAATCGGGGATAAAATGAATAAAATAACTTGCTCGTAGAAAACAAGTACAACAGCGTTCGTTTTTTAAAATTATGGAATACTTTATAAGGAATAATTAGGATGAAATCTAAACAGTTTCCTGAAAACATGTTCATTTGTAAGAAACCACTTAATGCAAGCAAAGCATGCTTTTTATATTTTTGGACCTCATGTTTTTCTGATAGGACAAACATCACAATAATTAAGTTAAAATTATGCAAATCCTAATTATGATTATGCGCGGTTTGATTAAAAAAATTGTGTATCATAGAAGCAAAGTCTAAATTACGCAAGTAAACTCTATGTACCAAGCATAATTTCACATAGATTCCAAGTAAATGGTTAAACTTTGAGATCTAACAAACAGTACTTCATTGTGTGAATGAGAACTGAATAAAGGAAAAATTATTACTTTTAGAAAACATTACTTCGATTTCCTGGAGGTTTGTTTCATTAGTTTGCATAATTGGAATTTCTCTCCGTCGTAAGAAATCAGCAGCAGTTTCTGCAAGGCACAGAAGATAAGAAATCAGCATTTTCTGGCACAGAAGACAGATACAGCAGTATAAACATTGTTAAAGGGATATACCTCATACATTATGTTCATATTTTCGTGTCTTTTTGTACGGGACTAACTTGGCAATACCGCAATTGAGAAGACTCTGCATTCCAGCATTCCTTTTAAAGTTTCATTTCAATAAAAACAAAGCAGGAAATATATGAAGTAGAATCTTGTTGCAACGACGAAGGATACATTTGGGGCCCTGAAAAAAGCTTAGTTGTACAATGTACAGAATTTCCTCAAAAAGAAGGTATAAAATAACAATGTCTTTATTTGGACAGGGACAGGAAAAAACATATTCATGAATTATATTTCTCCATGCCGACATTTGCCGTGAAAACGGAATTCTATTGACAAAGAATTGGAGAAAACAGGCTGAAAAAGTTCAATTCCAAATACATTTTGTTCAACGTATGAGACCTCCGATTTAAAACCGAAAATAGGTACAATACATTCAAAAATCGCGAAACTATGCATATGCTAATACTTGCAAAATTCGCAATGACCAGTATTTTTAAAGGAAAGAAATTAAAAAAACGAAATCCAGCACGCCGAGAAAAACAATTTTGATCTGCTGACGATGAAGTGCATCCTGTTTTTTGGATTACCGGTATATATACGACTACAATAAGGTATTTTCAGTGTACTATACTGTGTGTATTAGAAGCTTAGAACACGTCTGGCCGTTGTTTATTAATTTGAGAGAATACATCTTGTGTGAGCTCTTCAAAATATCCAAATTCATCCCAAGCAAAATAAGAAAATATAGAAAAGAAAAATAAATATAAATCAGTTTATATCTCTCCCGAAGAATAAACAAACGGATGACTTCCATGAATAGTCGTCCAATTAAATATTTAACCTAGAGCATACGCGAATGTCAACCACTGCAGAATATATCCTACTGCTGATAAGCTCTGATCCTTCTAAATAAATTATGAAGAACGATTCTCCGAACTACAATCGTATACATACTGCTCAAAGTAATCTAGACATTTTAAAGGCTTGATAAACCTGTGTATTTTTCGAACAGCAGGTATAATGCGTATACGTATATGAGGTCTTCATACTTACGTTGTGGAGAATTCAACCCAACGGTTATGAGTTATATGTCCAGAAGTCAAGATCAGTTCTGGTCCTTTTTGTTTTTATTTAAATCCAAAAAAGATAAATGGATAAATGTATTTCCCTTTTCTCCATAATTAATTCACTGAACACACACACAGCAGAAATAGCAGAAAAAAAATTATAATGACAACTCCCAGCAAACTGACTCAGGAATATAGGAATATCAAAAATGTTGAAAGAATGACCTTCTATGGTTTTCACTCTCTCTCTTCCAGGAATCTGCACTGTTGCACCTGATTGGCTGAAAGGGATATTCCAGAGCATTCTAGATAATTCGACACACATTACATGATTGGTGATCTAATTATTCTGACACAAGGTAAATCAGCAAAATTTTAAAAATACTTTATTCTTCCCTAATCTGCAGGAATATCCTGATGATGGCGGCGGTACAGCCGAGTCCAAAGTCGCTTAAATGTTGTGCAATTACTTCTCGATTTTTGAAAGCCAATAGCAGGGTTTTTTTAAATTTCAAAAAAGTGAAGTCGCTAAACAATCTCACACTGTACTTGGCTTGATTTTTTTTTCGGCCCCAACTATTTATTTGAACTGAAGGCAGCTATAGAGAGGAAGCGTCGGCAGGTGCAACTGACGAGTTACTTTTATAACCAACTATAACCCAGGGAACCCAGCCGCCGACGTTGTCTCGTTGTCAACACTTATATACTTGGTCTTTTTTTTTTATGGTGTGACTCACCTCTCTTCTATAATTGTTGTGTTAATAGATGGTATGCATGCTTCAAGTATTATTTTGTGCCATTGATTTTTTTTTGGTGAAAAAATCGTATATATATGAGATCATATTCCGTACCGTCGGGTTTTATACGCGATTTCCGCCAACGCCGTGCGTCATTTTCGCGTTATCTATCAGCTCTCTTATTTTCCGAGGTTCTACAGTAGGTGAGAAGTATTTTTCGTTTTTAAATTTTACACCCTTGGCAAGCATAAAAATACGTCCTTTTTCCATTCGCGTACAATTCAGTCAGTCAAACTTGAATTTGTGTATTCCTTTAAAAATAAATTCTTTAAATTCGAAAAAAATAATTGGGGAGTTTAATGGTCAGTATAATGTTTATGAAATTCAATACATGACCGGTAATTATAACTTCGTTGGACGATTATAAATCCTCCAATCGTGGAGATAAGAGATAAGTTGGGATTGATTGGAAGGTTCTCTCATCATGAGGTTAATTGCAAGTAATATAGTCATCAAGTGATACCCCAAAATGAAATTGTTTTGCCTTGATTCGGTGTATCACGACCTAGTTCTGCGTTTCTCTGCATTCCCGGAAGAAAGACTAATATCTCTTTCACGTGATGCTTAATTCTGTCCTTCATTAATCCAAATCCTACGATTTCTTCATGTATAATCCCTCAGAAAAAATAATCGCGTCAGATACATATTCTGAACGCTCAGGCGGGGAGCGGGGTATTTTATGTTTTTTATTGTCGTTTTCTGTCAGTTTTTTGCATGTGCTTCCTCGTGACTGAGCGTGTGGATACTCGTGCGAGATAGAAATCGGTGAGCAGAAAACGTGAGGGTGGTTAGAAATACGACTGGTGTAT